CTAAAGTATATTATTTGGGCTGGGTCTTGTGCGATACTAATCCTGACATTGCATGTTATGCACATGTAATTGTCAGGGTCAGCCCCTGCTGTGGTCCTTCCATGTCCCTTCCCTGTTTGACCAGCAGGTGTTGCTGGTCATCCTGTTCTTTGTGTTAGTCTTTGTTCTCTTCTGCTACCTGTCTAGCCACATGGCTCAATGTGTTGAGCATGTGGTTGTCTGAGTACCCTTCTGTCCTGTGTTCGAATCCCGCCGCCACTGTTTTTGTATTTTGCTCCCCAGTGTTTCTTTGTATAAGTTTTTCTGGTTTCTATGATTTGTATTTGGTTAAATTCTATGTGCCCCTGCTTGCGTTTCTACCTGTCTGTTATTCCCCTAGTGTAGATGCTGTTTCCTTCTTTGTCAGTCTTAGTTTTCCCGTCCCAGTTCCCTGAGTTAATTAGTTCCACCTGTTTCCTGTTCTTGTGCCTGCCCTGATTGTGTTTTCCTGATTGCTCGTTGTCCTGCACCTTCCCCAATTGGTTAATTGCTTGTCTCACTCCTGCTGCCTCGTTACTCTGTTCAGTTTCTGCCTGAGTTTAGTTCACTTGTGGTTCATTGTTGATTGATTGTGTTGTTGTGTGTTCTGTTGTTCTTTGATGGTTCCGCTATTTTCAGTGTTTTGATGTGTATTTGGTTTTGTGTTTTAGTCTAAGTTTATTCCCTTTAGAGTTTGACCCCCCGTGGTCCTTTTGGTTTCTTTGGTTTTGTAGTGTCTTCTGTTTTAGTTAATAAACCCCTTCTGTCTCTGAGCCGCAAGTGGGTCGTCCGCATCCTTTCCGTGCCTGCACCATGCCGCGCTCCCGTGCCCGAGCTGCCTGCATTCATGACAGTAATTTTCACAGTGCTAGTAAACTAGATTAAGATTAGGCTTTTTCTTACTCGCGGGTGTAATAGTACAGGGAGTTTACGTTTTGGTAGAACATTTTTACTCTGTCATAGAAAAAAAACCTTAGCAAACTTTGCAATTTTAATTATTCATTTTATAGATTATATAATATATGTGTCACACCCCGCTCCGTCCACTCCTGATGTGTGCCACGCCCACCTCATTACCTCGTGTTCAGCCCTGATTGTGATCACCTGTGTCCTGTTACGTCTAGCTGGTCTTTTGTATTTAGTCCGAGTCTGTCTGTCTTCCCCAGATCCGTCATTGTATTGTTTCGATGTTTGTGCCTGTCCGTCATCCCATCATTAATAAACCCCTTCTGTCCGTATATAAGGCTCCATTCGCCTGCTTGCCGGTTCGCCGGTGCCCGATCGTAACAGAATGACGGATCTCCGAAACGAGCTCAGCGCTACCGGGGAGGTTCTCCCCATGGAGGACGAGGTGATCGGGTGGACTAACCAGCTGGATCACCACCCGGATCCCATAGCCCGCCGGCTGGTGGATGCCTGTTGGGACCTCCTGGATAGGAGGTTCCATACTGGCAAGGAACAGCTGCTCAAGCAGGTGGGCGAAAACCTGCGGCAGCTGAGGGAGAGGGCGGCAGTTTGGCTACCCCACCTGGGGTATGCCGTCCGAGAACCGCCCCCCGACTCGCTATCAGCCACCTTCCCGGTCTCAAGAAGGACTACTCGTCAAGAATTGCGCGCTCAAACCCCGCCTCCTCCTACAAGGTCCGGACGGCGGAAAAAGAAGAGGCGAAGGG